AAACCCCAGATATACTTACCTGAGAACTGGTCTGCAGGCAGCCTAGGCACATCCTCCACCTTGGAGCTAATCTCACGCACTACAGATATACCCACCTTAGAAATGGTCCCCAGACACACTGGAAATAACCACCCACCTAGATATAGTCCCTACACACCACGCACACCCGCCTGTGCAATTCATCCTACATTCAATCATAAATCCATTTATCTACCCATCCCAGCCATCCAGCATACATACCAATGACCTTTCCCAATGATCCAGTATATATTACTCTACCCACCTATGGACATGTTCCAGCCACCCAGCACACATTTCTAAGTCCATCTAGCCACCTCACTCATCTGACCTACATTCCTGCATCCATCAACCACTTGTTCCATACATCCAGCCTGCGTTCTCTTATATCCATTCGTCCATCTGTCCCACCCACCTGGCATACATTTGTATATCCACCGATTTGCCTGCTCTGTCCAGTTGGCACACATTTATATATCCATCTATCCACCTGCTCCACTCACCCAGCATGTATTCAGAAATTCGTCTACCTGCCCATCCTTACCCATTTGGCATGCATTCATGTATCTGTTTAGCTTTCTCTCCCTTCTGGCACACACTCCTTGAATCCAGTTTTACCCATATACCCCTTCCATACATCCACACCCTTCTCCAATCATCAAGTCACCTCTCTAGTTCTCCATTTCCCTTATCTCCTTTACAACCAGCCATCATTTCCCATCCATTCAGTAATCTACTGCCTCCAGTTTTCGTCCCTCCACTTTGCCACCCACTTGAAACATCCAGTGATTCACCCTCCATCACTGCTTTCCTCAGTCCAAGAATCCAACAAAAAATTATAATTAGCGGGTTACTTTAGAAATTTAGAGTGGTTTTAAAATGAGGAAATTAACGATGGTAATCAACCGCATTAATGAATTACAAAAGAAAACTGTATATTTATCTTGGGACCAGCAGTTGGCGTAATAGCTATGTCACTGAACTCCCATGTAGTCGACCATGGTTCAAGTCCTGGACCTGGTGGCTTAAAGTCACGCCAGGCGCATGTGCGTGTGTACCCAAGATCCCGAGAGGAGAATGAAGGAGAAGGGATTGTGGCATGGCCATCCCCCCTGGGAGGTGATTTCTCGCTTTCTGTCACTCTGCCTCTCTCTGTCTTTCTGGTGACTGCATGTGTCCTTTAGCAAAAATCTCTCAATAAATAAATAAATAAGAAAGAAAGAAAGAAAAAGAAAGAAAATTATGTTTATCTCTTGGGAATTTTTTTAATCCAAAAAAAAAGAAAGAAAGAAAGAAAGAAAGAAAGAAAGAAAGAAAGAAAAAGAAAATTATGTTTATCTCTCGGGAATTTTTTTTAACACAATAATAGAACTCTAATAATAAAATGAACAGTCTCTTTAATGGTGAATGTTAAGATTAAGGATTAGACTAGGCTGCTTGTTATGATCACTGCTATTCAGCATTGTTTCCAAAATCTTCTTTGCCTCCATCATATGAGCTTACTTTAGGCCAGACATTTTGCAGTGCTTTATGACCACGACCTCATTAAGTTTTTTCAATAGCTATATATTATCTTTATGTCATAGATGAAAGTGTTGAGATCCAGATAGGTTAGTTAACTTGCCTATGGTCACACAGAATCAGGATTCAAATCCAATCAGTGCCTCCAACATCCGTGCCCTTAAACACCACGCTGTGCTGAGAGGAGGAAACAGCTTCTAATATCTGCAGTAGATATGATTTATTATGAAGAAAACTTGGTTAGTTGTCCCAATTCAAGAGTTGAGCTGGCTGCAAAATCAAGCTACGATAGAGAGTTGAATGTACACTGGCAAAAATCAGTTAGAAATAAAATTTTAAAATAATCGTCATACACTATAATAGAAACTAAAGTTAATACTTTACTTTCATTTATTTATTTTTACTTTTATTTTCTGGGGGGAAATTGTAAAACTATATTTTAACAAAGATGTCAGGTAAGTTCTAATTATATGGGTGCCACATCTTGTTCCTAGAAAGGAAGACAGCATTCACTGCAGATTTCAATTCCTTCCATATCACTAGAATAAAACCTGCACAGGAACAGAAACTACCTTCCTCCTTCCCTCCATGGATTTCTCAAACCCTCTTCTTCATCGCTCTCGTTAGCTCTGTGTTCACACATTTCTTTCAATCCACCTTCTAAGTCACCTGCTTGCCTTTTTACTGTTCCCCTTTCCCTCTTCTCCAAATTTTCTTTCCGCTCCACTTCACTTCACTAGATCACTCCATTCCACTTAATTCCACTCTACTCCACACTATTCCACTTAATTCCACTCCATTCTGCTTAACTTCATTTCACTCCACTCCATGGCACTCCACTCTATTCCATTACACTTCACTCTGCTTCATTTCATTCCTTTCTTTTCTATTCCACTCTACTCCATTCTACCCCACGGCACTCCATCTCACTCCTCTTTCTTTTCTTTTACTACACTACACTACACTACACTCTACTCCACTATATCCCATTCCACTCCACTTCACATCATGTCATTCCATTTTATTCCTCTCTCCACTTTACTCCAATCTACTTCATTCCACCCCATTCTACTTCACTCCATCTATTCCAAAACCAGTTAATTTCATCCAAGTTCACCGAACTCCATTCAATCTGATTCTACTCCACTCATTTAACTCCATTCCATTCCATTCATCTCCACTCCACTGTACTTCAATTCATTCAATTAATCACCACTCCATTCTAATTCACTTCATCACATCTGACACCATTGCACTCCATTCTACTCCTCTCCACTCCATTTTGTTTCTCTCCACTGAACTAACTCTACTCTAATCCACTACATTTCTCTCCACTGCACTCCACTCCACTACCCCATTCCATTCCATTCTACTCTTCTACTCCATCTACTGCACAGCACTGCTTTCCATTTGAGTCTACTGCACTCCATTGAATTCTACTCCACTTTCTTTATTCCATCCCACTCTGTTGTGCTCCATTCCACTCCACTTCACTTCACTTCATTCTATTCCTCTCCGTCCACTTCACACTGTACATTCCACATTGCTCTACCACTAATTCATTTCATCTACTCCACATTACTCTATTGAATTCCATTTTATTACTATCCATTCTATTCCACTTCAGTCCTCTCCATGGCATTACACTCCACTCCACTCCATTTTATTCCACTTCATTCACTTTCACTCCACTGCACTCCATTCTACTCCACAACACTACATCCTTTCCATTCCATTCTACTCTATTCCCTTCCTTCCACTCCAGTTCACTTTATTCTATTCCATTCCATTGTACACCATCCACGCTGTTCTACTCCATTTCATTCTATTTTACCCTACTCCATTCTACTTTGCTCCACTTCACTCCGTCTACTCCATCCCATTCATTTCATTCCACTCCATTTTCCATTTCTCTCCTCTCTGTTACAGTTCACTCCATTCCACTCCACTCCACTCCATTCCATTCCATTCAACTTCACTCCATCCATTCCGCTCTATTCCACTCTATCCATTCCACTCCACACCATTCCATTCCACCCTACTTCCAATCCACTCAATTATACTCTATTCCACTCTAGTACCTCTTTGTCTTTCTCACTTCCACTACTGCTATATATTTATCTCTACATCTTCTTTTCTTTTCCTCCTCTGCCTTCCACCATCTGTCTTCTCCATCCATCTTCTCACAGGACAATTCATCCACCCAATCCTGCTTCCATCCTTCTGCTCATGTATGTACTGTCCATCTAACCACCTGTCTGTCCTCATCCATTTAGTCTTCCTTCTCAGATCTCCTGTTCATCTGCCTAACCCACTCACTGAGTGATACAGGCATCAGTCATTCTAAGCGTCAATCTGCCCATCTTCTTTCATTCAACCCAGCCCCAGTGTAGTAATGCAAAAACTTTTGTCCTTTTCTCTCTTCAGATCTCTCTCTTCTCTTCTAGATTTTGGCTTCTTTCAGTGTACTCAAACCTACACTTATTCAGACTTTGTGGGAGGAGAGAGTGCTGAGAAGGGAATCCCAAGACCCATTCCACGAGGGAAGCACCTTGTACATGAGGCCAGTCCTGTCCAGTGTCTCCCCTCCTCCCAAGACTTCCTGAGCTCCATCCTACATTCCTCACATTAATATCCCTTTGCAGAGACCATGGGAACTTCCTCCTGTCCTATTTATACAGAGTACCTATCCTCAGGGTGTCTCAATTAACTTTATATTAGGCAGGGCCAATAAAATTTGGGCACATTTGTGTTGCTCCATCTTCTAATCACATCACACTTTTTTGGGACCAACTCACTCTCTATTTTAAATAATTTCAGGGCCATTGGACAGTGTGGTAGTTAAAGTCCTGGACTCCCCACATGGCTGACCGTGGTTCTAGTCTGGGACTTAGTGGCTTAAAAATCATGCTGGGCACATGTGTGTGCATGCCCAAAATCCAAGGAGAAAGCATGGAGAAGAGGGAACTGTAGCATGGACCCCGTAGGGGATGATGTCTCGCTTTCCTTCTCTCTGTCTCAGTCTGTCTCGCTCTGGTGAGTGCATGTGCCCTGTGGAAAAAAAATCTTAAACAAACAAAAACAAAAATTTCAGACTCACCAAAAAGTTGCAAAAAATACAAAGAAAGAATTACTTTATACTCTTCATTCAGGTGTCCCAAATGTTCACATTTTACTATATTTTCTTTTTCCTCTTTTGCTTCTATAAACACATATTATTTGTTTTATAAACTGTTGGAGAGTAAGTATCAGACACAATGCCCTGATGCCCATAAATACTAAAGTGTTTCATTTCTCCCAAACAAGAAAATTCTACAAAAGCACAGTAGAGTTAGCAAAAAGCAGGAAATTGGCATCAATACCCTGCTGTCCTCTAACAATTTCTGCCCTGACACCTCCCAGCTGGTCCCTGTGCCCATGCCCCAGCTGACCAGTGGTCTCATCTCCATCTCTGGCTTCAGGTTCGGGACAAGAAGCTTCTCAATGACCTGAATGGAGCCGTGGAGGATGCTAAGACAGCCCGGCTGTTCAATATCACCAGCTCTGCCCTGGCTGCCTCCTGCATCATTCTCATCTTCATCTTCCTGCGGTACCCGCTCACCGACTACTGAGGCCCCGACAGGCCTGCCCGCCTTGGAGTCAAAGCACTGAGACATGTTTATTTTTGTGAGCACTGACATGCAGGTCCTGTGAGGTTGGGGCAAAGCAGGGCTCCTTCCCTGGGTCCCCCCGAGGCTGTGAACCAGGCAATGAGGCCATCAGAAGTTGAGTATGGCACGGGAGCTTTGAGCTTCATCCTAGCTCACCCTTTCTGCCTCCTGGCCTCTGTCTCTGCCTGTTTCTGGGGCCCATGGGCTTCTCTCTGTGCTGCTGCACCCCGGCTTCCAGTGGCTGCCCTCCCTACCTTCATGTGCCCCTTCCCAGGCTCCTGGGGCCCCTCAGACCTGACACCCAGCAAGAAGGGCTTATGTGGGAGCTTCCCAGGATGGGGGCACTGCCAGCATCTGGGGACTCGGTCTATCCTCCCTGACCCCTGCCTTTCTCAAGCTGTGACCCTGCTCAGAGCTCTTGTATCTGTGAACTTTCAATAAAATATCCCCCAGCTCCAGCCCAACCTTCTGACCTGGGATGGACATGGAGGGAAATTTGGAGGCTTTGGGAGCTTTCTTTGGGCACCACTTTGTGGTCTGAGGCCTGAATGCCACATCATGACTGAGACTGAAGAATTTGCCCTGTAACTCAGGCAGTTGTCCATGGTTATGTAAGATAGGGAATCACGGGGACTTCTTGGAGGGCACCCCAAATGTGAGTTCCTTAGAGGATCAGGCAGCCTCCATGGAGAGGGAGAATGGGGACCGTGTGCAGCATGCAGTACCCTTGCAGGCTGAAAATGAACGCAAAGAAAACTGGATTCATCCAGGAGGAATCATGGGGGCAAGCGAGGGTTGTAGTTCCCTGCCAAGTCCCATCCTTCTTGGAGGCTTGGGCAGTTCCTTTTCTTTGCACCAGCCTGTCTTGCTATCTATACAATGGGAAGATGGCCTTTCCATTTCTCAGAGTTCTCATGCAATCAGCCGAAGGTTGCAGTTCAAAGGTCAGGATCAGCTAATGGACTGGGTCCCAGGATGCAGGAGGCCCAGTGCAGATGGGCTCTGCCCTCCAGGGTGTTCGGTGGTGGTGGTGGGGAGCTGGGCGGGAGTGGAGGGTAAAACCCTGCAAATTAGCCTGATGAATGCAAGAAACAGGGAAAGCACAGGGCTTCAGGGTCACCAAGGAGGCAGGCCTGACTCAGTCCTAGGCCAGCAAGTTTTAAGCTAAGGAATGAGTCCCGGGAACAGCAGAGCCCTCACTACCAGCTCTGGCTGCTATGAGAAACTGAAGGAAGCCCTGCAGCTCAGGCACAGAGCAGAAGGCCTTTACATCCCAGGGTGAGGCAGGTGAGCTTTACCTCGAGGCCTAGTGAAGTGCCAGGCAGGGGAAGAGACATGATTTTCTGCTTTCTGAAGACCATACTGTGAAGGCACAAGAGTGTGGCTGTTGGAAGTCATAGCAGGTGGAAGTCCAGGCCAGGTTGGGGGCCAGTGGGGGCTGGAGAGGAGGGCACTGGCATAGGCAGCTGCTGGGGGTGGGGTGAGAGTGGGGATTGATAGGTGAGGGAAGTGAGGGAGGAATGTGGAAGGTTCCCTCCTCCTCCCACCTGGAGAGCTGGTAGGTAAGTGGGTAGGGCGCTCTATAGAGAGCCAGAAACCAAGAGATGTTGACTTTGAAGCCGCCAAGTGGAAAAGTGCAGTGAAGAACCATGGGGCTGTGTGTTGGTGAAGGGGGCTCATTTAAAAGTATCCAGGAGGCTGGGGACACAGAGGGGTTCAGGGACGGAACTCCCGGTAGGTTCCTGCTGGTGTGTGGTTAGCTAGAAAGACAAGTGTTTATGCAAGAGGTGAGGCTAGGGCAGGGACCTCGTGGGAGCAAGGATTCTGAGCAGGGATTCTGGGAGATTATCTGCTGATCTCTGGTCTGGGAAAGCAATTATTTGATGAAAATCTCAAGCACCTGGGTGTTGACACCTTCACCACCCATGTGGATATAGAGACCAAGGCTTGGAAGGGAAGGCCTCGAGTTGGAGGTCAAAGCTCCCCGCAAGTGGGTCAGGCATGGGTTTCAGGATGCAATGGTGGCAGAAATGCAAATAGCAAAAGCCAGTGGCAACTCCGATCCAGAAACCCACAATGGAGAGGTCTGGCTATCAGCGTCTACCACGCAGGAGCTAAAGACCAGGTTTCAGCCCAGGCAGGAGGTGGAGCAAATTCTGGGGAAGAGTGGAGGGCAACATGTGACTTTAGCAGTTATCAGAGTTGGGAGAGGGTACTGTGGGAACTGTGTGGGGCCCTCGAGGTGCTGTATCCCTGATCATAGGCAGTGGAGGGTGGGGTGGGGGGGCAGGTTGGAGGCTGCTGCAGGGCATTGTGGAGTGAGGCTGTCCTGTCCAGGGTGGAGGGAAGAGCCGTGCCTGGAGAGGCAGGGGAGGCCCCGGGCTTTCTGGAGGTGTTGGGGCTGGCGTATGACGAGGGTGGGCTGCTGAGTTTTGGAGAGGGGCCTGGCTTCTAGGTCCCAGGGTACTTGGCTGGGACTGGAGTCCCAGGCTGTAGGGTCCATTTAAGATAATCTCGGAGTTGGGAACCAGCAGTTAGCGTAATGGCTATGTTGCTGGACTCCCACGTAGTCGACCGCGGTTCGAGTCCCGGACCTGGTGGCTTAAAACTCACGCTGGGTGCGTGTGCGTGCGTGCCCAAGATCCTGAGAGGAGAATGGAGGAGAAGGGATTGCTGTGTGACCATCCCCCCTGGGGGGTGATTTCTCGCTTTCTGTCTCTATGTCTCTCTGTCTGGCGAGCGCAAGCGCCCTATAGCAAAAACCTCTCCAAAAAAAAAAAAAAAGATAATCTTGGAGTCCAAATGGCTCCTTTGTGGTGCCTGGGAGAGGAGAAAGTAGAGATGTTTTCCTTGCTCATTTTCCTCCAGCCTTCAATGCCAGCACTTTTGCCAATCTGAGACAGGAACCAGGAGGAAATGCGTCAGGAACGCTTGGCCAGCTCTTCGCTGGGATGTGCTCACCTCTGGCATTCTGGGCTCATTTGGAGAAATGGCACAGGCACCTCCCTGCCACTCACAAGATGTATGTGTGCATCCCTGGGCAGTGCGGGACTTAGAGGCTTCCACGTTTTCAGGACCAGGAGACTGGCTCCCCCAGCAGGTGTCCATGGTGGGGAAGGACCCCTTTCTCAGCAGGTGGTCAGATGGGCACCAGATCCTGCGTTGATCTCTACCTGTGTGGTCTGTGTCTTTACCACACTGGACTCATCCCTGACCTCCTCACTCCATCCCCTTCCCTCCCCCACCCCATTTTCACTTGGTTTTGCATACAGCCAGGCGTGCATTTGACATTGAGTAAATAGATGAATGAAAGAATGAATCACCCTCTGTCTCACTCTTCTTGTCCTCCTCCTCTTCTATCTTTGGGGGATTAGGGGACTTTCCCTGCCCTTCCCTCTGTCCATGCTGCCCTGGTTGGCCCTGGCCACTGACTGCCCTTGTGACCCCAGCACACAGCCCAGCTTTAAAGGATTCAGACCATGTAACTGAATGGGATGTGGGTCCAAAAGCTGAGATGCATATATGTGTATGTGAATATATGTGTGCGTGCTGTGCATGTGTAAATGTGTGTGCATGTGTGATATATACATGTATGTGAATGTGTGTATTATATGATGTGTCTATTTGTGTATTTGTGAATGTGTGTGCATACATGTGCGGTATACGTATGTATGTGAATGTGTGTACACATGTGTGTGCATGTGAGTGTATGTGCACATGTGTGTGATTGCTGCATGCATGTTGGAGAGGAGGCCTATAGCCTCCCTTACCTTGACCACAGTGGCCCAGCATTCCCTAGGCTCCCATGCACTTCCAAACCCACTGCCTGCTCCAGCCAGGACACCTCTTCACAGACTTTGAGAATCCACAGAATAGTCCTTCTTGGTCTTGTGCTCTCAGATTACAACAGGGAATTCAGAGACCAGGGAATTCAGAGACCAGGGAATGTGCTCCCTGAGGTCCTCCTGCTCCCATAGTACAGAGGTGACTAGCTCAGATGGATGAGGTCATAGGATCTGGGGGCAATCCCTGAATGCAACAGCCACAGGACCCTCAGACTCCCTAAGTCCCATTTAACCTTGGAATGAGAGGAACTTCCGGAACAGGAACTCTCCTGAGATAGAAGAGAAAACAGTATCTTTTCCATATCCTCCTGCTGAGTTGGAGACTCCCAAGGTGATCAGGGGAGGGTCACGCCCGGAACAGATGCAGAAATGACAGGTTTCTGGGAGATGAGCCAAGGAGGTTTGAGAATAGAAGAGGTACAAGTAGTAATTGCAGAAATAAGGTCTGAAAATTTCTCACCATTGATAAAATACATCGACCCACAAATTCAAGACCAGTGAATCTCAAGCAATAGAAACAACCTCAAATTCAGGACCAGCTGAGCTTGGGCCATCTTGTTATAGCAGGAAGCACAGGAGTGCTGGAGGAATGATGAGCCAGGAACCACCTCCCATGGACCACAGCAGAGACAATGTGCTCGTCAAAGTGAATAGGGTTAGTAAAGATCATAATTCATTGGCTGAGATAGGACATCATGGGTCCAAACTGAGAGTACTAAGTAAATAAACTAGGGTCAGCTCATGACATGGTGGTTAAGGTGACCGGATCCCATGTGGCTGGCTGCACGGTTCAAGTCCCAGAGCCAGCAGCTTGAAAAACAAGCCAGGCATGTGAGCATGTGTGCTTAAAATCCCAAGAGGAGAAATGGAGAAGGGACTGCAGCATGACCAGTTGTCATGGGGAGGCTGCTTTCTCACTTTCCCTCTCTCCCTCTCTCTGGCTCTCTCAAGTGAATGTACAGGCCTCCTAGCAAATGGGTTTTTTTTTTAAAAAAAATACATAAACTGAAGTTTAAGGAACATGGAGAGCTTTAGCTCTGAAGACCCAACCTGAAGAATGATTATAATGACAAAGAGCATACTGAGCAACTTTAGAGGCAGAGAAACCCAGTAGGCGCCACCTTGATCAGATGGTTATAGTGGATATCATTCATAATGGGATAAAGTCAAATTACCTACTACGTGATAGGATTCACCAAGGAGAACACAGTGTTGTTTCTATGATACTCCAGCCCATTAGGGACAGAATGCTTGTGTCCCCAAGGTCCAGGTGTTGAAGCTCTAGCCCCCAGTGTAATGGTCTTTGGAAGGTATTTAAGGTCAGATGAGGTCATGAGGGTGGGGCCTCGAGGTGGGAGTGGTGTCTTTATAAGAAGAGATACGAGAGAGCTAGGGCACTCTCTCTTTTCTCTCTTCCTCATGAGGACTCAGCAAGAAGATGGCTGTAGGCAAGCCAGGGAAAAAACTCTCACCAGGAAGCAAGTTTACCAGCACCTTGATCTTCAACTTCCAGCCATCAGAACCGTGAGAAACAAAGTCTGTTGTTTCACCCACCCACTTTATATTTTACAGCAACCCGCGCTGACAAATACGCTACTATAAACGCGTAACAAAACACCAGGCAGACTCAAATTGAGGGGTAATAAAAATACACTTGGCCTGTAATCTTCAGAGTGTCAAGGTTATAAAAGTCGAGGACAGATTAAAGAACTGTTTCTGACTAAGAGCTGTGGTCACTAAAGAAATGTGTATTCCCACTCTGTGGTTTGGCTTCTCACTCTCTCTCTCACTTCTCAAGTTTCTTTCTTTCTTCCATGAGTAAGAGAGACAGAGATGGAACGAGACAGCCCCCTCAACACAGTCTTCATGTGACAATTCACCCCCAGCCTCAGATTATGGGCATGTGCATCTTCAGGGAGTTTTCCAGATGTGAACCTAGAAACTTCCTATGTGGGGCAAGCTCGCAGAGCATCATGTTATTACTGGCCCCCTTTTCACTCTCTTAATGTTCTCTTCTGATAAACAAGAAGTGTGTGTGTGTGTGTATGTATGTGTGTGTGTTTTTCTTGTTAGAGATTTTTGCTATAGGGTGCGTGCACTCACCAGGGAGACAGAGAGAAAGTGAGAAATTACATCCCCCCGTCCCCCCTTCCCCCCGCCCAGGTGGATGGC